CTGCATATGGTGTCGCACACGGGGGAGATGCCCTACAAGGTCAGCAGTGCCTGCCTTCGACGTCCCCACGAATGGCTGCTAGACACTGGCACAAGAGAAGAGGGGGCGAGCCTTTCTGTTTCGGGGCAGCCTGGCCCAGCCCGTCAGGGCAGCTGAGCACACCGGCTCCCTTCCCCGGCCTGTGGCGGCCCGCTGAGGATCATTCCCCATCTCTGAACCAGAACGTGCTTCAGGGAGGCACCAAAGCCAGGCGCTTTCTGCGGCCTTACCAGGGATTCACGTTCCGCATCAGAACGGCACTCCCCTGCCCGGTGCGCCGGTGCACCACCGGTCCTCTCCTTGCGCCGAAATCGCTGTTTGGGGGGCGGCTGGAAGCTGACCCTCCTCTCCTGTCTTCCAGTGCTCCTCCTGCGCCCAGCAGTTCATGCAGAAGAAGGACCTGCAGAGCCACATGATAAAGCTGCACGGCGCGCCAAAGCCCCACGCGGTAAGGGGAGCGGGCGGCAGTGGGGTTCTGAGAGGGGAATTATCCTGCGCTCAGGCCTGGCCCAGAGAATGGCACCCATTGTCCTGTCTTGCTCTGTTTAGTGAGGCGGGGAGTTACAGAGCTGCTGGAAACAGGTTTTTTGGGTACAGGAGCAGCCCTCGTCATTGTCTTGGCTGATAGACCCAAGTACTGACCAGCATTTTGCTTTTGTCAGGCTGTCTCACCTCATCAGGCATCTTGGAACCGGGGGTGCTGCCGCAGGGAGCAGGGAGGGCCCCAAAGCAGCAGCGGCGGCAGGCGGAGGGAGGGGTCTTGGGTGGTGAGCGGGTCTGTTGCGGGCGTACGCTGCAAACCGTGCCCGGGCGAGCTGCCTAACCCCGCGCTCTCCTGTGGCCTTGCAGTGCTCGACCTGCTCCAAGTGCTTTCTGTCTCGGACAGAGCTGCGCCTGCACGAGGCCTTCAAGCATCGGGGAGAGAAGCTGTTTGTCTGCGAGGAGTGCGGACACAGGGCCTCGAGTCGCAACGGCCTGCAGATGCACATCAAGGCCAAGCACAGGTATGACGTGACCCATGTCCTCCCGTCCGTCACTCTGGCTTCTCCTGGCTGCGCCTCCTCCCTGGTGGGCCCGGCTGGGTGGTGCTGGAGACAGCAGTTGGCTGGAGGGCGGCAAGCACCCCCTTTCCCAGAGGTGCTGGGCCGAAACTTCGGCCAGAAATCCGATGAGGGGCCAACCGGCATTCTGCTCTTCTCTCTTCCAAAGGAAGTGCAGACTGTCGGCACTTCCTCTGAGTGTGTGACCGTAGTAACGCAGGTGATGAGCGAAGCTCATCAGCCTCGCTAGTTCATGTTCTCGAAGTGGCAAGCACGTGGCAGCTCGCCATGCTCATCCTTAGCGTTCTGCTCCCTGGGCTGGTTATAACGCCCAAGGGGCGGGAGGCTCCAGCTCGGGAGCCTGTGGCTGCAGAATAGCATCTGTGGGCCTCCAAAATACTTCAGCTTGAGATGGGTTGAAGTAGGATTTAATTACAAGAACTTCGGGCAAGGAGCAGCAGCTAACCTGAGGGGCTGCAGCTGGCAAAGGCAGAGGTGAGGGTAACGTTTCCCCTGCCCGCAGGAACGAGCGGCCCTACGTTTGCGAGTTCTGCCACCACGCCTTCACGCAGAAAGCCAACCTCAACATGCACCTGCGCACGCACACTGGCGAGAAGCCCTTCCAGTGCCACCTCTGCGGCAAGACCTTCAGGACGCAAGGTATCCCCCCGGGCGCGCGACTGGGGCTGGTAGTGCTGAGCACCGCGCTCCGGCATCCAGGACCTCCAGAAAGCAGCCGTGCTGTGAAACCCGCCTACTCCTGCCCGCTTCCCCCAGGGAGCAAAGCCACGCTCTTGTGAGCGTGTGCTAATGCCACGGGAGGCACATTCCTGTTATCTCTATTACCCTCGCGGCACAAAAGAGGAAGAATTTGATGAGTTTTCCCCAGTAACGGTTAGCCTGGACCAGCGGGCTGCTGCTTGTACTGTTTCTAAGCCTTCCTAACCAGCCTGGCACAGACCGACTGCACCCCGC